ATCTCTCAAGACCATGTTGGGCCAGTCGCGGTGACCTACCGGGTAAAGTCCTAGCCTTGCACGCACCGGGATCCCATATGGGCACCGGTTGTAATCCACGCATAACCATTTCTCATCCAGCTCCCTAGGAAAGCGGTCGAGGACAGCCCAAAACCTTGGGACCCTGCACCTTTGTGGGAGACCTGGAAGAGTTCATGGTTCCTGGTTTCGGATCAGCACAGCTCCAGTCATTGTGGCCGGTTGGGGAGTGAATCATCAGACGGAAGATCTTCCTCCCTGTCTTTCCTCCTCTATGTATATCTGACTTTACAATAAAAATAACTAAATCTTAGGAAAAACAAACAGAGCATATCATGCTGCATCAGTGCATCAGAAGAGAGCAGGGAATACAACGGGACAAGCACGGCTACTTGGGAGCCTCTGGTGTGATGGCAGGAGAACGCAGAGGAAATGGAAGTGCCAGTACCTGGAGCTCCTTGCCTCAGTATCCAAAGCTGCACGTTCCCAGAAAGAAAGGAATTTGTCCAGGGAACTCAGCTGATTTTCAGACCTAAGAAAAATGAGTGGGCTCTAAGGAACAAGGTGTCCAAGGGCGTGTCCAACTGAGAGCTCCTTTCTGGCGATGGAAACGTTCCCTTAGTACTGGGTCCTCTTTGCTCACTTTCCAAATCTCAGTCACGCTCTCTCCAGCAGTCTGAGAAACAGCAGACATGAGGCAGCCTCGTCCCTGTGACTAAGGTCAAAAAGCCAAAACAGGATAAGCTCTGGATGATATGGAAGTGCCTTTCCAAGGTGCCTGTCTGGGATGTAGACAGCCATGTTAACTCCCAGGCCTCCCTCGAGGCTATGGCACTGAGCGTCCCCTCTGCCTCCTGCACGGAGAGCTTAGAGAATCGCTCAGAGTTCAAGTTCAAAGGTTCCCCCTTGCTTTGGCCAGCAGTCATCACAGGGGTCAAGGCAGCAGAACCACTGATTTTTCCAAAAATCTTCTCCAAGCAGTGGTAACCGCAGTAGTTTTCCTGCAAAGCAAACAAAATGTGAATGTTGTTCATTCAGCAGGACTTTTAAAATTGTAATTAGTTGGTTATGCCCCTTAGGAGAACCACACAAGATTTCTTTTTTTAATAATGTATGTGTGGATGTGGGGGGTGGGGTGGGGAATAGAAACCTCTTGACCAATTCCACTGCTTTCCAGAGCTGTCTATTTTCGTACTACTTGCCATCTTGAAGCACAAGGCCCCTTTGTTTTATCTGAGGCCCAGCTGCTCCTGAAGCTGTTCCCACCCGTTGCTTGGTCTGCTGGTTCCCGGAGTCCCAGGCGTACTTGGGAACATAACTGTCCCTTGATAGAGGATTGGTGCCAAGGCTCCCATAGATGCCCAACTCTGTGAAAGCTCAACTCGCTATGTAAAGCCGTGTTGGATTTACATGCAACCGACCACATCCTCCCTAGATGAACTAACAATACCTAACACAGCGTAATGCTGTGAGCAGCAGCGGTTGTGCCTAACTGTTTAAGGAAGAACAGCAAAAAGTCTGAATATGATCAGACACAAAAGTATTCTCTTTTCCTTCCTCTCTCTTCTTTTGACTTCCTCCCATCTATTCTTCTTTCAACGGTGTACCTGCTTCCTTGGTTCCTTTTCAAAGGTTTACTTTATTAATTGAAAAGGAGAGTGGAGAGAGAGAGAGAGAGATCTCCCGTCCATTGGTTCACTTCCCAGATAGCCCATTTGCCAAGACCTGGACCAGACTGAAGCCAGGAGCCAGAGAAAAGAGGGACAAAGAAAGAGCTCCCCACAACTGGCTCACTCCCCAAATGCCTGCCCCACCACGGGTGCTCTGACGGGGTTATGTTTGTCCCTTTTTCTGTGTCCTTTCTATCCTCGACTGGCTGCGTCTGAGAATACACAAGCCACAGATCTGAGTGGTGGGTGGAGGACAGCTGACTATCCACCTGTCACCTGGACCGTGCCCACTGCCCCCTGCCTATGCAGAGCTTTCCTGAGCTGCGCTTTCTCTAGGCAGGCATGGGATACAAGACAGGAAATGAGAAATGAAATGGCACCAGCATTTCTTTGATGCATCAAAACCCCTCTAACAAATTTCAGGAGACTTTGATGCATCCTCATTCACTTAGCCTGGGAACTCTTCCTTTTTTGCACAGGCATAATATTCAACCACTCGGTTTTTAAAGTCAATATTATTTTAAGTCTGGCTCCACTCATAACGTATCTTGCCAAGACCCTCACCATTATTAACCTGGCAGAGAATATCGCTACAAAGAATGGTCCATTGTAGCTGTTACTCACACTTTGAGTTAGCATCTTAAATTTACATTTCAATTTAAACACAAAAGTAAGAACATGAACTCAGGAGCATCAGGGTCACAAGGTTCTGAAAGGATTTTTCCTCAGCCAGCAGTGGGACCCAGGGGGATTTCTGTGATCAAATGGGGCAGATGGCAGACCTGGGCTTGGGGGGAGCCAGCCCCAAGGGAGCGTTGGAAGGCAGCGGACGTGACCAGACTCAGAGGGTTCCATCAGCAGTTCCTGCAAAGGCTGTCTCACCATGCCGGGGTGAGTAGCCCCAAGCTGCTGTCTTTGTCCCCTAATTGCTGCTGTGTGGGCTGCCACCATCTCCTATCATGCCAGGTTCAAAGCGCCAAGTGCAGTGTAGAAAGATTCTGTCTCCGCCCACTGCCATTTCCTGCCCCCTTCTTCCCTGGCCTGGCCCCGGCAGCAGGCCTACCCAGGAATGCACCCCTTTCACCCATTCCCACCAGGCCTTACAGTGGGAAGGTGGTTTGTGGCAAACCTTTGGGGTTTGTGGTACTTGGGACAAAACTGCTCCTGGGGGAGGGGCTGAAGGAGGCAATGGGGAAGGAATGGATCAGGGCGGATGCCTGGGAACCCAGGAGTCCGTGATGCCTGGAAATAACATAGCCCATTTCTCTTCCCCAAATCTGAATGGCCTTGCTGCTTTCAACACAAAACCAATGATCTTTGGACATAGAAAAGTGTGTGCCTTCCTGTGAAAGCATCGTGGCTTTCTAAATAAGGCACAGACTTACAAGTAGTTGAGCCATACCTTTGTTAGGATCAACTGGGCGCCTTCTGCCTCATCTTGTTCTACAGAACAGTTGAGGCCACTGACAGGATTATGCACAGTAAGACAGACAAAAATCTCAGACACAGAAAAACACTTATCTGAATAAGGGATCAAGATCAGTGGGCACAGCAAGTCGCTGGCTCCCAGGCCATGAATCATGTGCCGTGGTTACAAGCCAGGGACAGAAATGACCGTGATCTTACCATCCAAGACTAGGAAGCCAACTGACAATATGCGTCAGTGATTCCCCACAAAACGACATAAATGTTGGAGCTTCGCAAAATCCCCCATGTGGCAGGCAGTTCTTCCTTGGTCCCATCCTGTGTGGTCTGCACTGGTCTGGATTATGACTCTTCAGTGGAAGAAGGATTTCACATGTAAAACCATCCCTGACAAGTTCACATGGGGCAGGTGCGATGGCTCAACTGGCTAATCCTCGACCTGTGAGCACAGGCATCCTATATGAGTTCAGGTTCCTATGCCGGATGCTCCACCTCCCATCCAGCTTCCTGCATGTGGTCTGGGAAAGTAGCAGAGGACGGGCCAAAGTCTTGGGACCCTGCACCCATGTGGGAGACCAAGAAACAGCTCCTTTCAGCTTTGGCTCTGGAAATCATTTGGGGAATGAAATTAGTGATTTTTTTTTTTCCTGTTTCTCCTTCTCTCTAAATCTTGTCTGCTTTTCCAATAAAAATAAGTGGATCTTTTTTTTTAAATAATTTTGACAAAACTCTAAGTAGCTAAGAGGACATGTTTATCTGGGTTTGTATCAATCAGTGTTCTTTGGGGTCAGAGAGCAGGGCAAGGCCAGGAGGCAGCTGATACGAGGAGAAAACAATGCAGGCTCCAGCTTCCAAGAGGCAGGTTTTCCATCTCTCATCCTCTGCGCTCACATAAGGCAGTTTCTATGTGGTTTTCTGGTGCCTACTGAGCTGGTTATCTCATAAGTCCCAGGCCCCGGGCTCAGGGCTTGGGTTTGGAACCTCTCCCAGCAGCAGGCTAGGGTGTGAGACCATCACCCAACCCCACCCACACAGCAGGAAATGACAGACCCAGGGGTCCTCTCCTGCCCTCAGCAGAAAGACCACCCAGCCTCCCATACAAGTCTGTGCAAGCTCAAGTTCAAGTTCTGTTACTCTTTTCTCTCAGGGCTTGCACAGGGACAACCCAGGCACCAACCTTTCTAAGGGGCACCGAGTGGAGATGCCTTCGGTCACAGACTCTGAGCATCGGGGCTGCCATTCTTCTTCTTTTCCTAAGAAAACAGGGAGAAGACAGTTTGAGAAGTGTAACACACATTTCTGTCACTTCCTGACAACCACATGCCAATCGCTGGGTACTGTGTGACAGACACTCCTGGAGTTCGCTTGACGAGCCCCCAGTGACCCAAGTGCCCGCCCGCCTCTGTCCCACCCAGAGCTCAGGCTTCCTCTAAGAACGCTTCACTTCTTCCTTCTCACTTAAAAGTCAAAGTCAACCACTTACACCTAACCCTACTGCATTTTCACATGTCCATGCTTTCTCATACGTCCCTCGGCCATAGCACAAGGGCCGATACTAGTGACACGGAGGGCTGTGATGACAGCCAAGGTGAGGCAGACGTGGAAATGGCTGCTTCCAAGAGCTCAGGTCTAACAGGTGAGGCTGTCAAGAAGACACAAAGAACCTCCAATTGGGGGACCAGGAGAAAAAACGATGTCTGACAGATAAAGCTGCAGCATTTAATCTGGGTGTTAGACAGTCACTAGGATTTGGGCTGATATGGAAGGAGTGGAAGAGGCTACATCAACAATGGGAGTTTGAGATCCACTGGAGCAGGCTTTTGATGTTCTTGCATGTATCCAGTGTGGTGTGGACAACGGGGGATGTGTGAAGGTTTGTTTGCTTGTTTAATTGGGAGTAATAGGATCAGTGTTGCAATGCTCCTTGCTCTCTCATTAGTCCACGAGGGCTGGGCGTGAGCCAAAGGAGTAGCACTGAGAAGTGGGAGGAGGAGAGAGCAGGTTTCTCGTTTCTGGGAGTAGAGATTACACTTCCTATTTCCTCAGCTTTGCTTACTCTGGTCCCAAACCGCTGACTGACTATAGCAGGTTACATGTTGAGTTCTAAATGTTTTCTAATTGTGGAGTGCCTGTCCCCACCCCAGCTGAGAGCAGCTTCTGATGAGAGGCTTCTGATGGACGGACACGCGCATCAAGAAAGGCTGGAGCCACCTTGAGGGTAGCACTGAATGAAGACAACTCCAGGAGGTTTGTTCCTAAGAACTATGTTTGGGGTGTTGGAAACTTGTGAAGCGGGGTAGGGTCTACCAGGAGGTCATTGTGAGGGACAAGGTAATCTTCAGGGCACCTTGAGAGGCCACAAAGAGCCTCTGCCCACTCTCTGCTTTGCTGTCCCTCCTTCCCACCTGTGCTTCTGCCATGACACATCGCACCACGCTGATGCAGTCCAAGGGACCCTGAGAGAGCTGGTGCTATGCAGCTTGGACTTCTAGCCTCCAAAGCTACTAGATAAATAAACTTCTTCTCTTGGTAAAATCATTTAGCCTTGGGTATTTTGTTATAGTAGCAGAAAACAGACTATCGCACTCAGAAAAGGGACTCTTTCTTCAATTTAGCAATAGACATGTTGCCAGGTAGTTGAGGAATAGTAAGTTCTCTGAAGCATGAAACCACTAAAAGATAGATAAAATGCATGAAAGACATTAAAGATAGAATTTAGACTGATTTGGTAAACAGTTTGGGATCAGGATTAAGTTTTCAATGTAAAGGTAAGTTTTGAATTTATAGAACTTCTCAGAATCAATATTTTCCAAAAGATAAACCTGCTAGGGAAATTAAATCTCAACTCTGGATGAGCATCTCTAATCTAAAATATGAAATTACAAATACTACAAAATCTGAAATGTTTTTGAGTGTTGACATAAAAAACGGAAAATCCCATATCTGGCCTCACACCAGGGACATCAATGCTACTACACACGATAATTTCAGGCTACATGCAGGAGAGGTAGATTAATATGATCCATAAATGAGTTTTAACCTTAGATTTGGGTCCCCTCCTCAAGGTATTTCATTGTATGTATGCAAATATTCCAAAATGAGAAACACTTCCAGTCCCTAGCATCTCAGATAAGGGGTACCCAGGGTGCATAAAACAGTGACTGTGTTATTGGCCTTCAGTGACACAGAGGGAGAAGGTTTCTGGATGGTTCTGGAGACTTCACCCATGCCTCCTCCCCTAGCAGTGGGGAAGCCCTGATCTAAACTCCAGAATTGCACCTTCATCTTCCTCGTCTTCTCTGGAATGAAGATAAGAACAGCACTTGCTTCATGTGTTGGGGATTCAATGAGTTTATTTTTGTAATGTGCCAGAACACTGGCTGGCCCTATGCTATCTAATTATGACTTCAATGATAACCAGACCATTTTTTAATAACAGGATTTAGTTTTTAAATTGTCACCCTTCTTGAAATATCTGCTCACCCTGGGCATTAGCAGTTGGATGGAACACAGCAAAGGGGATTTTTTTGTTGTTAGGATATGCTTTTAAAATATTTAAAACACTCTTCAGACTGTATAGAGTCATTAATTCTTGGCTGTGGTTTCTATATTGTTCTGCCACGTCAAAGTGTGTTTGGATACCAATAGGCTTGGATAAAAATAAGTTGGTGGAGAATGGGCTCAAAATAGGTTGGTTGCCCTAATAAGCAGTTTATGTCGTCTGGGTGAGGTACCAGCTAGGTAATAAGTCTATTTTTACTTGACATCAGTACCAATTATCAAGGAAAGGTATATTCAGACACAAATAAAACTTGGTGCTGGAGCTGGATTTAGAAGTAGAGTTAATTTCAATAAAAGCTGCATGTGGAAAAGATGAGTATGCAGAGCACACTCATTCCAAGGTTTGTTGGTCAGGGGAAAAGTTCCACTCCCAAACCCCAGGGAGTGGGGAAGAAAAGGTGGAGGGAATGAAAGCGTGTCAGTCTCGTACGTGCCGGGCCACCTCAGTGCTATCCTCAGTGACACTCGTGGGAGATGGGGCCCCAGCGAGCATGGAGGCAGAGCCTGCGTGTTACCTGTGTGTGCATCTAGGCGGTCGTCCCAAGTATGTGGTAAAGAGACTCCTGTGTCATTCCTGTAATCCACAATTATCTGGATGGAGACGATGAGAAAAAGGCAGTCGACAGTGATCCAGGGATAGATGTCCCAAGCCAGGATAACCATGGAGATGGAAGGAACTGGACAGATCCCAGAGCAATTGGGGACTTTGGGACAAATTAAGTATGAGCCGGCAGGAGATGGGGTGTGAGGTGGGGGTGGGGTTTAGCGGGGGGGGGGGGTGCTGAAGGAGTGCGGGGAGGAGACAAAGAAGATGCAAGAAGATGGTCCAAGAACTTGAGCCCCTGCACCCATGTGGCAAAGTAGGAAGAATCTCCTGACTCCTGGTTTTGGATAGGTTCAGCCCCAGCCATTGTGGCCATTTGGGAAGTAAACCAGCAGATGGAAGATTTTTCCTTCTGTGTCTCTCCTTCCCACTGTAAATCTGGTTTTCAAATAAAACGAAAAAGTCTTTAAAAAAAAAAAAGGGAAGAAAGAAAGGTAAGAAAGTGATGCCACAAATGATAACTATGCCTGTGGGAGCAGGTACAATTTCACAATCAGGTTATCTCAGAGTGTGGGCTTTAAGTGGATCCCAGCAGACACTGGTGAAGGTCTCCTTCACAAATACCCGTACAACTGCCTGAACCAAGTTGACTGTTGGGATTTAAGACCTGCTGACAACAGACCAAATCAGGTCAACAGAGTTTAGAACTATGAGTTCTCTCAAATGTACAACCATGTATGTACTTTCCCAAAACTTTTTTTATGCTTATATATCTTAGGCTGTGCACAAGGGTAACTAACTCCAAAAGGTTTGTTGGGAAATGAAATTAAAATATATATTTATAAATGGACCTATAAGTTTGCAAGTCATTGGGGCAGGTGATATGATGCTTGAAAGTTAAACTGCTGCTTAAGATGCCAGCATCTCCCCAACCCCCTCAAAAGCAGATTGTTGATTCTAGTCCAGCTACTCAACTCTTTTTTTTTTTTTTTCAGCTGCTCCACTCTTGATCCATCTTCCTGTTAATGTGCCTGGAAATATAGTGGAGGATGGTCCAAGTACCTGACCCCATGCCACCATGTAAGAGACTCGGATAAAGGTCCAGGCTCCTAGTTTTGGCCTAGCCCAGCCATCAGTTGGAGCTTTTAGTAGCATGAACCAGTGCGTGGAAAATCTGTCTCTCTCTCCCTCTCTCTCTGTTGCCAGTCTGCTTCTCAAATCAATCAGTGTTTTTTAAAAAAGGTTTATTTTGGTGTAAAACATTTTGAAATCCATCCAGTTTGTTCTAGGATATGGATTTTTTCTGAAAACTTTCTGAAGATCTTTCATATATATGCTTACATATCCTACAAGGTTATGATTCATTTTTTTGATGGGTACAATGATTTCATAATAAAGATATCAGTGTAGGTGAAAATAGCATTCTACTAAACATAAAAATCATATTGACATTATCTAAAAATACTAGCAACTGCTTGGTAAAAGCATGCTAAATAATCTAATGCAAGCACATGATTTGAAAGCTATGAGACAACACTTTTTCATTTGGGATTAGTAGGGCTGTGGCCAGCATCAGATCATCACAAAGCAGGAAAAAAAGGAGAAAAAACATGAAGGTTTGCTCACCTGGGCACTGAGTCTGGCGTGGAGCTTGTGGTCTGACAGCCAAGGATGCTTAAGCGCTTCACTCGCACTTATTCGCCAACTAAAGGGAAACCAGGAGCTCATTAGTAGGATGTCCACCTGCTGCCCAACCTCTGCCCTAGTGTCTATCTTCAGTAGACCAGTAGGCCAAATGCCAAAGTCACAGCCAAGTATGCCTTCTCTGAGCTGAGTGGCAAAGGCTAGCATGAAATCCAGGCAGGGCAACAGCACGGCTATGACAAGCAACCTTTGTGAATAAATGTGCATCTTCATTGAAACACAGATAGTGATTCCTAAGTTTCATGAATGTGAGAACTCCTATCAGTCAGCTAGACAGATAAATTAACAAATGGTAAGATCAATCTACAGGCTCTCTGCTTCAGGAAAATGCTGAGAAAGGAGCTTCAGGCAGCCTTGAAGCGCCAGGTCGCAGGTCTGCTTCACCCAACCCCTCGGCAGAGTCCTGGCATGCTAGGGCTGAAGGAGGGGCCCAACGCATGGATGCTGTGGTCCAGAAGCCCTGTGTTGGCACCTGCTCTGTGTTGAAAGGCTGCTTTACTGCTCTCGGCTTCTGTGTCGTCATCTGTCTGTTCACGGTGGTAATACCCACACACCCAGGATGACCGGGTGGTTACATCAGGTGTCATCTGAGAATGTGTGTAGAAAACAAGCTCTCCATTAATACAGATTTCTCACTCTCCGTGGATTTCCTGGGGGTTGGTGTTTGCCATCTGCTCATGGCCTGGAGTTGTTACTACTAACAATCACCTGTTAGTAGTAACAACTGTGACCGTGTCTTTCCATTATGGAAAAGGGACAAAGGCAATCGCTATTTGTGGACCATCTCTCCTCTCACACTGATTCTTTTGGCCTGGCTAAGCCCTCTGGCCTGATAGGGACTCAGTTCTGGCTCTTTCTTCATGTCAACCTCATTGTAAGAGGCTACTTGGAAAAGTTTTTGGAAAAGTAGAACTAATGGGTCAGTATGCAGTGCAGTAAGTTAGGCCATTACCTGTGACCCCAGCATGTTTACATTTTAGCTCCTCCACTTTCATTGCAGCTTCCTGATAATGGACCCAGGAAAACAGGAGGAGAAGGTCGGAAAACAGGAGGAGAAGGTCCAGGTACCCAAGTACTCCGCTACCCAATGAAGCTAGTGGCTCCTGGCTTTTGCTGGCCCAACCCTGACTGTTGCAGTCATTTGGACAGCATGAACAGATAGAAGATAACTCTCTCTCTCTCTCTCTTCTCCCCTACCCTGCCTTTTTCTGTAACTTTGCATTTCAAATAAAATAAATCTTTAGAAAGAGAAGTAAAAGTTAAATATATTTTAATGCAAATATCTTTGAAATACATGCATCTCTTTTTCCATTATTTGCATTCTTCCATCAAGTTTTTAAATGTTCCTAACACACTGGCCCCGAAAAACCTTAAACACACTTCACTCTTTTATAGTTTAGACATAATATAAAGCCATCTGAAACACTGTCTGATTTGGTAATCCCAGTGGCCTTCCCTCTTTGTGATTCTAAAACACAAGCTCCTGGACTTCAATACCGCTCTTCACCATCCACTAAATTTTGAATTGTACAGTTTTAGTGAGTGAAAACACAAAGATTCGATATAACAGCGAGGCGTATGGCTTTGGGGGAAGCTTGGCATGGGTTTGGGCATCCATTCTGCCATTTACTAGCAATGTGTTCATGGGAAAACAACTTGGAGTTTCATCTATGAAACAGAATAATAGTAATTTCTACCTCATGACACTGGGAGCCGGTGGGGGATGGTGGTTAAAACAGACACTGTCTTGGAGCATTTGGTGTGGCTTGGCACAGAGTTGGTTTCCAAATAAAACGTTGGTCAAGCTGTCCAGCTTCAGGGAGCCATATGCATGCTTTGTGAAGGTGTATGGGAATGTACAAATAACTCACCCAAACCGTTCATTTTGAAGATGACTCAACAGAGGCTCAGCAGGGGTCTGTGACTGCCAAGGTTTTGTCACCAAAGACAGGATGGAAGTTTCTGGAGCTCCATCCAAGTCTCATGACCAAAGCAGTCTCAGATCTCAGCAAGATCAAACCTTATTCTATTTGCAACATTCCACTCACATACCCATCAAAGATGTCCCCAAGGGGGTAGATGCATTTTAAAGATCCTAGGAGCATAAACAGAGCTCTCTGATGACCCACTGCTTCTGTCAGCATGCAGAGCGAATGAGGCTACCTCTTCTCCTTGATGAGAAGCTTGGAGATGAACTCCCGGGCCTCATCGGAGATGTCCTGAAACTCTTCGTCCTCCAGATCCCACCTGCAGGCCAGGATGTTGTTTAGTGTCTCCGCGTCGTTGTCTCCCAGGAAAGGTGATAAGCCACTAAGTCTACAGGACACAACATTGAGAGTCAGCATTGAAAAAATCAAAAATCAGTCTCAAGTCCTTCACAGACAGATTGGTGTTGGATCTGTCATCTAAAAAGGAAAGAGGAATAAACCAACAATGAAGCAGAATTTTATAACATTGTGGTCAAGAAAATGTGTCCTCCCTTCCCTCAACTCCCAAGACGCGACAGAAGTGATGATGACAGCAGCTACACTCAACTCAGATTCTCAGAGCAGAACGCAAGCTCCTTTGCAAAGTGTCTTGTGGGAGCCCCCGGTGTTGTGGTGCAGCAAGTTCATATATCACTTGGGACGACCCAAGTGTCCCCAATAGAGTCTCAACTCCTCCATTTCTGATCCAGCTCCCTGCTAACGTGCCTGGAAAAGTAGCAGAGGATGGCTCACATGGTCCCTGATACCCACATGGAGACCTGGATAAAGTTCCAGGCTCTTGGCTTCAGCCTGGCCCAGCCTTTGTCATTGTAGCCCCTTGGAGGAGTGAACCAGCAGACGGAAAATTTCTTTTTCTGTGTCTCTGCCTCCCTCCCTCTCTATCTGTCACTGTAATTTCCAAATAAATAAAATAAATATACATTTTTTTTAAAAAAAGAAAAAAGCATCTTACAGCTGCCAAGTGTTGACACCAGCTCTAAGTGTAATTATCGGGAATGTCATCCTTAAGATGTAAGGCTAGTAGTATGAGCTGTTGAGGTGATTGGAATAGGAGCGTTCATTGTTTAGAACCATTTTTGGGGCTTCAGGTGGAAGCGAGTTCAAATGGTTGTGGAGAGCAGTGCCACTGACTTTCTTGGCTGAAGCGTGATGGGGGAAAAAGTTGGTGGAAATCAACTCAATGTGCCACAGCTATACTTAATCTTTTTATTTTTGATAAATATTTTCATATTTTAATAAATAAAATAATTTTAATAAATGCACAAGGATCCCATATGGGGGCAAGTTTGTATTGTAGCTGCTCCACTTCCCTTCCAGTTCCCTGCTTGTGACCTGGGAAAGCAGTCAAGCATGGTTCAAAGCCTTGGGATCCTGCACTCGCATGGAAGACACGGAAAAGGCTCCTGGCTTTAGATTGGGCCAGCCCCAACTATTGAGGCCACTTGGGGAATGAATCAGCTGATGGGAGATCTTTCTGTCTCTCCTTCTTTCTGTAAATCCAGCTTCCCAAGAAAAATAAATAAATCTTTAAAAAAACATACTTGATTTATTTGAAAGGCATAGCAACACTCAGACATCCAAAGAGGTGAAAGAAAGAGGGGATGTAACTTCCAGCTGAGTTTCCCGTGTTGGTGCATCTTCCGCTGCTTTCTCGGGAGCATCAGCAAGGAGCTGGATAGGAAGCAGAGCAGCGGGGGAAGGGTCTTATCAGTAGTTGGGTCTGGAATGCTCCGTTGCAGATGGCAGCTTAGCTTGCTGTACCACCATGCCATCCTTGATACTCATTCTTAAAAGATCTAAATTAGGGGTATTATTGAAAACAGCTAAGAAGCCCCCTCGGCCATGTGTGGAGATTATACATGAGCCTCAGAGAAAGATGAGAAAGCTGCTTACAACATGTAGGCGATGACCCCCACGCTCCACATGTCCGTGGGAAAGGAAACGAAATCATAGTTGACGACTTCGGGGGCAAGAAACTCCGGGGTCCCAAAGTTCACCTTGAGCTTCTCCCTGGGCTTGTATCTGAAGTTTTTGAGAGATAAGGTGAGGAAATCATCACAGTTAGTATTCTGGTACGCTAATAATGCTAAAGAATTGCAGGCAAAACCACTCTGAATGATTAGGACGTCTACATAACGGACCATGACCAGGGTCCTCGACATAGAGTGATGCGAGCAAGCCAGCACTAATGAGTAAGCCAGACGTCCGTCCAATCACACATCTTCTTCGCCCGAATCCTTAATGTGCTGAATTATTCATGTGTCTCCTGTCACGCTCTTTATCCTCTGCTGTGAAACTAAACATGGGCCGGGTCCCTCTGCAAACTTGTTTACACTATCACCGTTTCTTTTTTATTTTTCTCAAGGGAAATATTCTTTTAACAAATGCGGTATAAAAAGCAAAAACTAACTCTCACCAACTTTAAGAATGAATGGGTTTTAGCTGAATAAACTTCACCATGTGGGCTTTTAACTTTTTGTATTTCTGACCATCAGTGTTGCAGAAACCTCCAAGGACTCACATCTCAAATTCAGCCAGGTAACGTTGGACTTAATTTTGGTTAGCGATGGCTTTGAAACGAGGACATGAAGCCAGTGGGTATATCAGATTTATCTCTGCAAAAAGAGAGAGCACTTGTATCGTGTTCTCTCACTCACACACCTACATCCAAATAAACTTACCTTCTGGCCAATCCAAAATCAATAATCTTTATTTGCTTAGCATCCCGATTCACACACAGGATATTCTCAGGCTGCCAGGAGAAAAGAGACACATTAGCAATGAAAACAACTATCCTTGCCTCAAATTGTCCTTGGACCACAACTAAAAATACAACCGTACTCAGGAAAAACATATCAGGCCTTTCACTTGGGGACTGGCTTGTCTGTGTGGGTATTTTCTCCTTTAATTATGTGGTGGATGAGGTTGTGGGTCCCCTGCCAGCCTTGCATTACCCTGCTGGTCCCACTCCATGGTTTTGCAGTTACCATAATGCCTGAGTTCAGGCAGAGGCCTTCTTGGAGGGAAATGAAGGAAAGAAGCAGCCTCGGGATTTTGCAAATGAATTGGCAGGGACCCACTCAGAACTCGACAGCTACCTCCCTAAAATTATGAAGTATGAATTTCTCCTTCTTGGAAGAGTCCTTCTTCCAGAGATTTACGAGTTCTGAGAGAAATGACCTGATTCATTGGAACAACCACATCGAGTGTGCAATACAATCCAAGCATTCCCGACCTCTAGATGTCCCCCCTTTGCATTTGGTCTACGAGAAAGCCTCCTGGAAGAGGAAGGCTTTCCTTTCCTGGCCATTCTTCATCTCATACAACTCCAAGGTTTTGCTGTGCGTTGTCTTCGTGCTTAACCCCTGGACTAAATTTCCTTGGTGTCAAACTTGGATATGACTCTGCCTCGCTAACCTAACACTCAGGGAGAAAGGACAGGGGGCAGGCTGCAGCTCTGCCGTTGGGTGTTCGTGGATTGCATGATACGTGTTCCTACACGATTAGGTTCAGGAAAATGGCAGCCTGGGAAGAATATGGAATTGGGTTTAAAGTCAGCATCGTCCACGAGAGAGAATTAAACCTGCCAAGGAAAAGTCAAGAACTTTCAAAACGCTGATCCCAGCTCTGCCCTAAGAAGTGAGGGCACGCACGGGGCATGCTCACACACGTCACTGGATGCCAGGCCTGCATTTCCTCAGCCCGTTCAGGCAGAGTATTTTGGCTTCCGCCTCCCACACCTTTCTGAAGAAGAGGTTCAAATGAGAAACTCAGCCACAGTTTATGAAATGATATATTGTCTCCTTAATCAACATTCAATAGTCCCCTGGGTTGAGTGTAGCGTCTTTGAAAGGCTTTTTCTAACATATCTCTAAACCAGATGTCGGGGGAGTAAAAGTCATTTTCTGCAGACAAAGTGGGTGCTATGTTAGAAGAGCTGGTTTCATGCTTAAATAACTGGTCAATTACGCACGAAGCCATCCAGTTGTCCAAGAATACCGTAGCATCCAAAAAACTGGTTTGCAGAATGAAAAGAAACAGCTTGGAGGGCATTTCCAAAAGTACATGTCTTACGATTATGAGATCCAACAATATTCATTGAATACAATTTGCAAACCAGAAAAACATACAGGAGACCTTTTCTTCAGGTCACCCATAATTTCCCCCTCCCACCCCCTACATGGGAACAAGTATTTTTAATGTTTTTGGCCCCTTTCCTTCCAAGGAGCTTTCCGAAAAGCTAGTCGGTAACAACTCACCCAGTCGTCGTCTTAGGTATTATCTTTACATACAAGCCATAACTAAAACAACCCATTGCAAGTTTTCAGTCAACAGTGTGAAGCCGCAGATGGAGTCAGCTGGCTTCCCCTAGGCCAGCTCCTATCCCCAGTTGCCAATCAAATCCCCGTGGGGATATCTCCAAACTATCTATGCTCAATGAAAACGCTCCAAGAAAACAGGCGTGATCAAGCTCAGTTCGTAGCTGAGGACTCTGCTAATGAATTTCCCCTTTAACCTGGTCATTTAATATCCCACTCCCCCACCCTGCTCTTGCTCCACTGGGGACGGGAAAAACAACAGCCATAAATCAAGCAAGTGAGGAGAGCAAAGCTGGAGGAAGACAGGCCCATGGAAACCTATTTAAGGAGGCTTCATTTATTTAGCTGCACAATCCCTGGTGCTTTGCAAGCGCTAGCATGTTCTGTGGAGGGTATATTTTATCTCACTGACATGCTGTGCAGACAGGGAAATGAGAAAATGATGGAGCCACACAAGAGGACATATGTTAGGCTGTTTAGCTCCAGTATTAGACATAGTATTAGTATGAGGATTTGGAGGTCTGGGTCTTGTCTTGGTTGTATCTAGGACTGTCTGCTGTCCAGTTCTAAGAGCTTCATAATCAAAGTCCTAGCTTCTCTGCTTCTGATCTAGCCCCCTGTGAATGTGGTTGGGAAAGCAGCAGCAGCTGGCCCAGGTGGTGAGTCCCTGCAACCGCATGGGAGACCCAGATGGCTTCACCTTAAACCAGTCCCAGCTGTCAGGGCCATTTGGAGAATGAAGCAACAGATGGAAGATTCTCTCTGTGTCTGTCTGTCTGTCTCTCTCTCCTTAAGTTTCTTGGGCTTTCAAATATATAAATAGATCTTTAATAGGGAGCAGCAAGAACAATAAATACAAGAAGAAAGGAAAGCAGCTTGACTGTTCTCATTTGCTGTCAACAGTTTCCAGCATGGTGCCCCTCCCGTGCACCTGTCTGCCCTGCTCCTCAGCACTCACCCTCTGGCTGCTCTGTATTCCAACCGCCACAGTGCTGGCTCAGCCTTCTGCCATACTCCAAGAAAGCAGACCCCTAAAGTCCAGATTTCCCTAAAAGATTTCAGAAAGGTCTGGGGGACTCTTGGGTATCCTCCAAGGTTGGCCATCATCAGGGAATTCTGAACTAGCTGAAACCCTCCCCACTATTTGAAAAGGTTGGGGTGGTGATGGTGATGATTTTCATTCTAAACTTTGAGGAAAACCTTCTACCACATGGAAGTCTTTAAACACTGGCCAAACACCAGAATCTGAATACATACATGTATTGAGGGGGTGAGAAAAGGTTTGGAAATGAGGAGAGCAAGTTAAGAAACAGGGTTGTTACTCGTTTTTGAAAACCTAGTCAGGGATGCTGCCCCTGTCCTGAGCTGGTGCCTAGGTGCTGCTGGGACACAGGACCCCAAGGGGGAGACACGCAGGCAGGCTGCTCTACCTTCAGGTCCAAGTGCAGGATGTACATCTGATGCATGTGTCTGATGCCCTCGCATATCTGCTTGACAAACAGAATGGTGTCCAGCTCCGTCAGGTTGCAGTTCTCATCGATGATGCGGTCGAAGAGCTCCCCACCATCCACACTGCAGAAATGAGACAGGGAAACCCTTCGTCCCGGTCCCTTCACGGCCATGCACTTACCCAGTAGCCACTCGGTGTGTCAGTTCCTCTAACTCTGCCCAGGGGCGTGGAGACACAGCCATCCATCTGCCCTCTTTGGCTAGCTTGGTGAGACAGTTCTGTTGAAGACTCGTCATTTTTCAGACTTTCGGTTTTACAGGCACAGAATTGCAAAGCCCCTTTTATCAGTGGGTACAGCACTGGAATGAATCCCTGTGTTACACTGAACACGTGTCAAAGATCCAGAAGACTGGATGTGTAAGGGTAGGAAAAATAGGAAAAAATCCCAACGCCACCTGCAGGTGAGTTACCCTTCTGCCCAATGAGACCCCAGACTCATTTCAGTGACAAGTCGGGTCTACATGGCTTGGCTAGCCACATTATTATCCATAAGACCTTATTGTACCATGATAAACAGAACCCAAAAAGGGGGGAAAGCACACACACACACACACATATATACTGAATCACAGTATTGATTCAGTTTTAGAATTATTTGTTGTTCAACTAACCCATGATGAAGTTTTATGAAAGTGATCTTACATTGAAGCTTCTTTGCTGTAATCACCAAGGCTTTGATATGAATTGTGTATTAGCAAATGCAGTCATTCTCCTTGTCTACTGGTTCAGTTTCCACCTGGGATTGACTGCGGACAGCAGAGCACGATGTACCACTCAGGGGAACCGACTCAATGAGACCACATTCACATTAGTTTTACTTCGCTGTATTGTGATAACGATCCGGATTTTATTTCTAGCGAGCACTCATCTCTTACTATGCCTAATTTATAAATGAAACTTTATCACAGATACGTATGCACAGGATAAAATGTGACATATATAGGATTCAACACTATCCCCCCTAGGGCTCTGGAGACATACGCCCTGTGGGAAGTGAAGGCAACTGGATGTAGTTAAAGTACAAGTGGCTAGAACCAATGGGGTGTCACAGGGAGCTAAGCACTCCATGCAAGACTAGCATCCTGTATTGGAGAAATAATATTTTTCTACTTCCTATGTGGCTCCCTATGAATTTGTTGATAAAGCTGCAGAAGATAGCTCAGATATTTGGCCCCCCTGGGGCCATGTTTTGGCACAGCAGGTAGAGCTGCCATCTGTGATGCTGGCACCCCATACAGACACTGGCCATTTTTCATCCAGTTAATGGGAAAGCAATATAAGATAGCTCAAATGCTTGGTCCCTCGCACCTATATGGTTAGACTCAGAAGCAGCTCCTGGCTCCTGGCTTCAGCCTGCCCATACCCCGGCCATTGCTGTCACTTGGAGGGTGAATCATCATGTAGAAGACCTCCCCCCCCCCTCTCTGGATTAACTCTGCCTTACAAATAAATAAAAACAAATCTTAAAAAAAAGCCCTGCCATCCATGTGAAAGACCCGGATGGAGTCCTGAACTTTTGCCTTCAGCCGAGCCTATCCCTAACTATTCAGGTCATTGCAGAGCGAACCAGCAAATGGAAGATCGATTTCTCTGTGTCTCTCTGTCTCACTCTCTCTCTCTCTCTCTCTCTCTCTTTCTCTCTCCACCTTTCAAATAATTAAATAATGAATCTTTTTAAAAGCATAAACATTTTGCTTTCTTCCAGCTTATGTAATATATAAGCTTCATTTCTGTAACCTAGATACCAAGCTGGGTGTGCTCTCGTTACTTGTATCAATAACATAACACATGGACACGCACATGCAGGAGTCTCCTTACTAGAACTGACGGGAGCCTGTGTTGCTCGACCTGCGCTGTTGCAGTGGTGTGGGGGGCTGGGAACAAGGGGTGAGACAGGGACACCTACTATTCCAGGACCAACACGATGTCATTCTTGGACTCGAAGGCATCGTAGAGCTGAATGAGGTTCACATGGTCCAGCTGGTTCATGACATTGATCTCGTTCTTTACTTCTTCCTGCATGGGAGGACATGGCGCTTTAGTGTGCCTGCGATGGGACATGGCTTGGGGAGCCACGCCCTTCTCCAGTGGCCTTTACCTTGTCCTTCACGCCTCTGGTCTTAATGATTTTGGCAGCCAGCTTCAGTCCAGTAGCTTTCTCTTCGCACTTGTGAACCTGGCCGAAACGCCCGCTGTCGAGGAAGAGGGAGAGATATGGAACAGGTGCTGCATAGCAGTGCCAGGGAAGGGACAAAACAGTAACTACATCTACCGTAACTTTAACGCAGTATGAAATCTCACTCCCGATCCAGGAAAAAGTAAGTTAGCACACACTAAAGGCCCCTGTCCCTGTTGTGTGCAATGGTGACTGTCACAGAAGGGACTGGAAAGGCTGAGGGAAGGGGCCCCCAAGCAAACAGAGAACTCGAGGGAGGCCACCACACAGCAGAAAACAGCCCCTGCAACACTGGACAGAAGCAGGAGCTGTCAGGTGCCGCATCCCACTCAGTGCAGAGGCAGATGAATCTTGCTACAGACATTGCATCAGTATCAACAAAGCCCAGCAGGGCTTCAGCTGCAATCAGATCTTCAGCTGTAGTCCTTACTGAAGCACATCAGCCCAGCACAGCTACACGAGCTGCTGGTGAAGAAATGTATTTTGTCCCTTCATTAGCCATGGTAACTGGAACTGCCTGGCCCAGCAGTGGCACCCGTCGCTGTCTGACTCCAGGGCTATCTCAACTTTCAGGCTCTGTAGCATGACTTCTGCAAGGGACTTGACTGTTGTGGCCATCTCACAGGACTCATGCTTTTTCCAGCAAACTGGATGACCTCATGCTAAAGGAACAAGGATGTCAGAGAAGTCACAAAAATACTTTACAGGCCACAAGACAGGACATGACTCCAGAAAATTTCAGAGGAAGGGGGGCAGTGATCCCTAGCACGATGGATGACAGACAAGGTGCTACACCCTGAAACAGAAATATAGGGTGGGCTTTTGGTCTGGCAATTAAAGCACAATTTGAGATGCTGTGTCCCACGATAGAGAACCTGGATTCAATTCCTAACTCTGGCTCCCCAGTTTTAACTTCCTGCCCATGCGTATCCTGGAAAGCCAGGTAACGACTCAACTGGTTGAGAGACCAGGGCTGGGTCTCTCCTGGCTTTGGCATGATCCAACCCCAATCGTTGTGCGGAAGAGGGAAGAGGAAGGAATGACCCAGCAGATGGTAGCTCGGTTTCTCTCTCTGTGTCTCGTGTCTCTCCATCTCTTAAAACATATATATTTTTTTTAGCAGAAGGAGGTGCAAGTCTGGATATCTTTGCGTTTTGAAACAAGGCACATGCACATGTGACTTATTTGTGAGTGAGTTACAAGTTGCCCATGTGGAGTGGAGCCCAGAGCAAGTGGTGACCAGCAACCAGGAAACCCCAATAGTGCCCGAAGAGGGAGGAGAAAGGAGCTAGCGACAAACATTCCTGCAAACACACACACACACACTGGGAATCATTTCAAAGTGTCCTCTGCAAATAACCATTCTCTCTTTAGAGAAACAGCTTCTGGCTGGCCACTGACCTCCCTGAAGACCCATGTCCTTTAGAATCCCATGCACCAGTTCATACTTTGTAATTTTCAGTGCTCCCCCAAGCCCATCCCTATGGGTTCTTGGAAGGTTTCCTGTGGTGGACTGGCTAGGGAGGAGAAAGTCAGCTGGCCCTGAGTGGCAGAGCACAACAGAAATGCACAGAAAGAGGAGGAGGAAGGATAGACCACAAGAATCAGCTGCCTACTTGTTGATGACCACTCACAGGTACTGTATTGCAATAGCTCGGCCTGTTTTCCTTGTGATGACATATCAGTAATATACACATGTATGGAAACTTTAATTTCTTCATCTGAGTTCACATACACATGCTGATGGGAGAAACCTGCATAGTTAGGTTTGGGGTTACAAGACCTTTTATGTGGATTTTGAACGAGGTCAAAGGGGGGAAGAACAGTCTCCTCTGTGGATGCACAGAGAGAAAGAGTGTTTCTAAGTGTCCCCCGAACAAATCCTTTAGTAAACAAAATCTATTGGAACCAGTGTCGTGGCATACTAAGCTAATCCTCTCTCTGTAGCATTGGCATCCCATATGGGCACCAGTTCATGTCCTGACTGCTCCACTTCCTATCCAGCTCTCTGCTTATGGTCTGGGAAAGCAATGGAGGGTGGCCCAAAGCTTTGGGACCCTGCACCCATGTGGGAGATCCAGGTCCTAGCTCCTGTGTTCAAATTAGCTCTACTCCAGTTCTTGTGGCCATTTGTGAAGTGAGCCAGCAGGTGGAAGACCTCCCTCTCTATCTCTCCTTCGCTCTGTAAGTCTGCCTTTCAAATTAAAATTAATTAATTTTAAAAAGTCATCTGTTAGACAGATGATAGTAATTAATATAGAAACAGTATGACTGGAAAACCAGCCACAATGACCCTAAAGTTTGACACATGCCGCAGGAACTATGCAGTCTTACTCATTTCTACCTTTTGTCTCCTAAGGCCTTAAGCCATGGCTTTGGGCAGCTTCTGAACCCTCCAATGACTCATGTTGGGATTTTCTTACTTCCAGACATTACAGCATGGGAGGAAAAGCAGATAATAAGCACAGCATCTATTGAGTCATCGCATTAACCCTTCTGGCACTGGGGGTGTCTTTCAGAAATGGTTCAAAGCCCTCTCCCAACGTGTTTCTATAGGTTGTGATTCTCGGGTGGAGGCCGCCAGGGGTGGTGAGCGCCTGGGCCTCTCATGGGAGGCTCTCTGCTGTCATGGGAACAGTGTTCAGATCCAGGGTTACTTACCCTCCTAAGATTTCTGTTTTGCTCACGGTATAGAAACTGTTGACCGCCTCCTGTTTGGCTGTCACAATACGGTGACCGAATGGGGCAGCAGGTGCCAGGATGCCATCTAGCAGGTAAGAGAAAAAGAAAGAGGGGCCACAGGTCAAGCATGCAACCTCTGTGGGGCAGCGAGCAGTGGCTTCCTGATGGACACTGGGTCATTGGTAAAGAAACACAGTGGACCATCTGTTTCACTCCCAATGCTCCACAAATACAGCTTCCATTTCTTGGTTTTATCTCTGACTCAGGAAGATGCAACTTAATACCTGAGACAAGACGGGCAGGACCCCAAGACAGTCAACAATCTTCAGCCCTCACCCCCGACACACTCCATTCTATCCAAACAGATGCTGCTTCCCAGCCGGGTCCATTTTCATTCAAAGATGGGAACTGGTTCAATCCCATTTTTTAAGGGAAAAAAAATAAAAGTTCCAAATACAGCCCATTATTTTAATCAAAATGAAGAGAAAAGAAGGAATAAAGAAACCGTTCTTCACGCCATTGAAAAGTTTGACATCATAAATTAACTTCACCAAAAAAAAAAAAAAAGTGTGGGCTCTATTTAAGACACATGCAAGGCACACAGATGACGCTTTCCCTGGCTGGCTGGGAATAAAACACCCAATAAAACGTATTCTACGGCTCTCACATTTCTCCCACGTTGCACCTTCCTTCTTACGCATTTAAGCTCTAGTTCATGTCAACGTCAGTTTTAACTTACATAATGACTCAGTAATAAAACCCCATATCCCTTTGACTTCTGCGTGACTATTCCTGTTCATGGCCTTGTACCTGCCCGGGTTCAATTTAGTCATTTATTAAGCAGCTACTGCACGCATGTTATAAGAACACTAGCGGGGAAACATAGCTTATAGCTTTCATTTCAGAAATTCGTATTTATTCACCATATGTTTCTTGCACACTTCTCTCGTTCTAGACATTGACAAATGCCTTCTTTAGAAAAAAAAATAGATAAGTCTTCAGAAATCTGCTTTGTCACAGCCATCCTCTCACAGGTACACTGGACAATGACATCATGAAAAAATGTCCTTGGTGTCATTCCCTGTATCAGATTTTGTTTTGTTTAAACAGAGTTAAAGACACAAGTAATCTTGTGCCAATCCTAAATCCCAGGATAGCACCATGGTTCCCTTAGACCATGAGACTACGTGAAGTTTAGCTGGAGATGCTTGCTGTAAAAAGGTTAAGAAGCTCTCAAAGTCTGCAACAAAAGCCACTTCCTACCCAGTGGGATCCCCAGTTCTGGCTCTCTGGAGGTCTTCATTCCAGCAAGTTCCTGGGGCTCGCCCGGGTCGCTCTCCTGCGTTTGCACGGCTTCCTGGGGCCTTTCCAAGGCATGTTGATGGCCCGCTCCCGCTCCATCCATTCTGCTCTTCTTGTTGTCCTCGTTGATGAAGCACTCCTCCTCCTCTTCCTCCGTCACTCTTCGTTTACTGCAGCCTGTGGACTCGACTTGCTCAGCCTTCTGCACACCGACTTCTCTTGCTGAATTTCCCAGGCTTGGTAGTGATGGGGCAAGAGCCTGTAGGCTGCCGGCGCACCTGGAAAATAAAATCCAGCTGCAGCTCTCAAACGTTGCACGGTGAAAACTTTCCGATGGTTCAGAATCCTTAGCATTAAAACTTTCCAGAAGTGGCGTCTCGGGGAAGAGATGTAACTTCAGTGAGAGGGCTGAGCATTCTGATATTTGAGGCCAAAATACAGCTATGTGCTTCCCACTAGAGATGTAGGCTTCCGAATTCCCCAGTGGCCTCCTGATGACCCCACACTCTTGCACTGTCCCCATGGCAATGCAATAGTTTTCCAATGCCTACGTTAATTTTTTTCCTTGCCTTTCCTTACTAAAGAGAAAAATGATGAGATTACAGCAATGTAAAAGAAGCAATGATTTGCACCATGGCATGGTAGGCTAAACCTCTATATACAGGGACTGGCATCACATATGAGTGCCAGTTCAAGTCCCAGTGGCTCCCCTTTCCAGATCACAGCTTATGGCCTACAAAAGCAGCGGGGGTAGCTCAAGTCCTTGGGGCCCAGCACCTATGTGGGAGACCTGGAAGAAGCTTCTGTCTCCTGGTTTCAGTCGGGCTCAGCTCCGGTTATTGCAAGTGTTTGGGGAGTGAACCAGTGGATGGAAGGTCTCTTTCTCACTTTGTCTCCTTCTTGCTTTTTCTGCCTTTCAAGTAAGAAGAAAATATGTCTTTTTTTCTTCTTTTTAAAAATATTTATTTATTTCTACCCAAAAGTCAGATTTACAGAGCAGAGGGGGAAAAAAAGATCTTTTGTCTGCTGGTTCACTTCCTAAGTGGCTTCAAGGGCCAGAGCTGAATCGATTCAAAGCCAGGAGCCAGGCAACTCCCTTGAGTCTCCCATGTGGATGTAGGGTACCAAGGCTTTGGACTCTCCTCCACAGGCCACAAGCAGGGAGCTGGAAGGGAAGTAGAGCAGCCAGAACACAAATTATGGTCTACATGAGTTCCTGGCGAATGCAAGGCAAGGACTTTAGCCACTAGGCTACTGTACAGGGCCCAAAATAAAATAAATAAATATATATATAAAGGGAAGAAGCAATAATCCCCCTATGTAATAACAGAAATGACAGCAAATGAACTGACCTGGCATCTGGTTTGGGATCGCTCCTGTCCTCACTAAGCACAGCTTCATGGCACTGGGCATGCTCACTCATTATGAGTGCTTATGTTTAGTTCATAGAAATTTAGATTTCTTCAAGAATAGGTTTCAAATAGACTATTTGACATTTTATTAAGAATTATGTCATACATTTCTTTTAGAAACAGCATACACAGGCATCTTAATTCTCTTTGCTCCAAATATGAGTGGGGAAGCGGTATGTCATAGCCTAGAGTAATTCATTTTATTAGATACAAAATCGCCCAAATTTTGTGTGCAGCTTTGCAGTTAAGGAAGTCTTTGTATAATCTACTTCTTATTCAGTCCTCACAGATATTTGAGAGAAAACAGTCAAGTTACTATTCATAATGGGGAAAGTAAACTTGAAGACTCACATTTCAACACATATTTAATCACTTATTATACTCTAATTGCTAAAAATGTCTTTTATGTAATATTCTTTTAAAATATCTTTCTGTTTCTTTGTAAGGCAGAATGAGAGATAATCTTCAATTTGTTCTCTCTAAATGCCCGTTCCAGCTGGGTGCTGGGCCAGCCAGTCCAAAGCCAAGAGCCAGGAGCTGGCAGCTGCATCCAGGCACCCCATATGGATGGCAGGTACTGTTGGTCGCAGGGATGCTCAGTAACCAAAGGCTGGACTAGGAGTGGAGACGGAGCCCCATCCACAGCACTCCAATGCAGGTTTGGGCATCCCAAGTGGTCGTTTAATCCACTGGACTACTACATTCACCCCTCTAACTCTCCTAAAACCATCGCTTCCTGTGACTACTAATAATTATTATCATTGTCTACCAATCAGGAAGAGAGTTAGGGGGAAAATGGCTAAAAATAACAGTCAAGAAGACAAAAAAAAGTGGACCTGAGAGATTCCCATGAGGTGAGAGACTGGATTCTAATGCTTTGCTCTAAAAGAAGCCTCTGCCTATGGCAGCCTCGGCTGTGGGCACGTACGGCTGGAGTCCTACCTGTCATGGAACTGATCACCACTGGTTTGATGAGCATTTGACTTGTGACTGGAATGGGGGTCCAGCATCTCTTCCTTGGCAGACGTTGGTTCTTTTTTCTCCTCTTCTCTTTCACTGCTGTCTTCCTGAAATTCATCTTTCCCCCCTTTGAACACTGGACATCCGCTTGGATCCACATTATTTTCCTGCCCATTCAGGCTCTTGGAAGTGTCTTTGTCATCTCTATTCTCTCTTGTCTCTATGGAATTTTCTGGCACAGCATCCCCTCCCTCATCTTGTCTTTCTGAGTAACATATGGTCAGACTTGTCTGGGCTAGAGAGAAGTTGGTCTTCTCAGCATTTTCCACGTTGAGTTTATGAATCTTCTCTTGTTCGGAAGAGAGCTGCTGCTTCTGGGTAGATCTCTCTAGAAGCCATCATAGGATACAAAGTATTTTAATTGGAATCTGATGCAATCAGATATGATCCAGGCTTGCTATACTGGCATTTCTATTCAGGTTTTTCCTTCTATCAGTGGCTAGAAACTTTTAAAAACAAAGTACAAGGAGACAGAACCAACAGACTGGCTACTGAGCTCCAAGAGTTTCCCCTGTTTGCAGCTGGTAAAGCCAAAAGTCATTCAAATAGGGATATTAAAAAATAATAACAATAAGATAGCACTACCTCATGGTCAGCATACACTGAGCATGGGCCATATACTGGTTTCATGGACATGGAACATTCTCAGAAAAGAACACTCCTTATCTACAGCGCACTAGGCTTTTCAAGACATTACCTGCGAGCAGTGATGTTCTTTCGCAGCTGGCAGGTGCTCCTTGCTTCGGATCAGAGTTTGGCCATCCCTCCTCCTTCAGCTGTGGGTACACAAGTGACTGAGGTTACTAGTGGCACCAGGATTCTCAGCTTCAGCACCACCAGCACACAGGTTCATGGTTTGTTGTGGAACATCTCGGGATGTGAAGCAGCTTCCTTCGCCGCTGTCCGCTAGACGCCAACTGCACCTTGCAACCATCACGTGTCTCGGTTTGAAATTCACTCTCAGTTATTTTGAAATATTGTACAACATGGACCCTGTTGTACAACCATTATATGAATAAAAAAAATCACCAGAAGTTGCCAAATGCTGAGGAAAGGATTGCTGGAGAACCATTACGTCAAATACTTCAAAAAGAGGGGAAAGGCATAAAATTCACAGTAATGCAGAGGACAGAATAGTGTGAGTTAAAGAGATAGTCTGTGGACAAGATCCGGAAGCAAAGGAACCCATTCTTTTCAAGGAAATTCTGTCTGCTCGTCCCCACATCAGGGTCTCTCAGCATCATCAAATGACTGTCCCCAGCATCCCTCTCAGTAATGTGAACAATATTAAAACGAAAATTAATTTTTAAAAAATCAGAAAAAAAAACAAAGAAAGTCTGTGAAACCCTGTAATTGTTTGTAGAAGGAGCCTCATCTTCAAGATGTTTGTTCATCACCTTTGACCTCTATTTAAGCTATCTTGAAGTGGTTCGTGTGTGAGACAAACAAATATGAAAAGATATGTGTGTAAGGGCTTTGTAAACCAGAGTCAGAGATGAAGACAGCTTTGCAGGTGTGGCTTTCATGTCGTTTATAGCAGATGGCTCTTTTCCTAAGTGGATAAACACCCTTCCTACATTCTTGGGTTCTCTGGGTTAGTTGAACAAACCCTTTTAAAATATCATGCAATAAACAGCCCAATCTTTCCAAAGTATCACACATTCTAAAGTTACGTCTTGACATGAGTGAAATCGTCCTGGAGACGCCCAGTGATTCTTCACCTCGAGAAGGTACACGGCTCGTCTTGGGACGATCGGCTGACCCAGCGCATTGTGTGTGAAGCACCCGTGGCAGAACAAACTGAAGTGGAACTTTGATCCAACAGCAGCCTCCAGTTTCAGAGCAACTTCTATTCTTCAGATGGGGATCTTGCAGCCCGGAGATTGGTTTAATAAACCCCGGGAAGCCAATGTTGGAGATGAGAGCCTCGGAGTTCCTCTTTCAAGAGAACGTGCATGCCTTGGGCTTCTCGAGGCAAAGCCGGTTGCTCCCTGTTCCAAGTTTGCACAGAACTTAGCAGACAGTCCTACCCCTCTCACACCCTTGCCGAGCCTCATGCTGTTGAACTTTGTTTGATCATTTTCTAGAAGATTTTGTGCTTCCTAGAGGTGTAAAGCCCCCTGGTGCTTAGCCTGGAGAACAGCACGTAATGATGACGAGGATGATGATGGTGGTGATGATGGTGATGGTGGTGATGATGATGATGGTGGTGATGATGGAAATTATGATTATGGTGGCGGTGGGGTGATGGTGAGGATGATGATGGCCAGGCTATACTGACCATGGACCGTACACCAAGAATTCTTCTGAATGGTTTATATCATTAACTTGGTTGCTCCTTAAAACAGCCTTTTGGGATAGATGCTCTTAATCACAATTTACCAATAGTGTTGTATAATTTCCCAGAGTTATGAAGTTCAGAAATGGTAGAGGTACAATTCTAAGTTGCATAAATCAGGCTGCTATTATTTTCAACCTTGTATCGAGTCTCTGGAAAAAGAACAGGAAAGCGTGATTGTAGTCACGCTCCGTCGTTGGCCTTTATTGAGGTCTTCTAGAGTTTTGGCTTCTCTTTCCTTACCACAGGAAGTAAAACAGAGTGTGTCAAAAATGAAATAACAGAGCAGTAGAACAAGGAGATACATATTTATCACACAGACGGTTAGAACTAGACCTAGGATGTTGGCACAGCAGTGTAAGCTACGGCTTCAATCATTGCATACCGGTTAAATTCCCAGCTGCTCCACTTCCAATCCCACTGCCGGATAACGCCCTGGCTGTGGCAGGCATCCGGGGAGTGAACCAGTGGAAGAAAGATCTTTCCCTATCTCTCCCTCTCTAACACTCTGCCTTTCAAATTAACAAGTAAATAAATCTTCTAAAAAAGAATTACCATGGAATACAGACAGAGCAAAAGAAAAGGGAAAGAAAATTCAAGCCAAGTTTTGAAATTATATATCCAAATTAGTCTAATAAAGCAGATAAACTGTATTTAAGACATGTTGTGACTTTGTCTTTCGGTGCTTCTGTTTTGAAAACTTCCAGCGGGTTGATAGATATGGTGAGTCTGGATTTATTTTCTGCGGCCCTTCCCATGGGAAAAGCACATGCGGACTTTACAAAAACTGGTGTCCATTACTCAGTTTCTGGGAGAGCCAGGTACAGAGCCTCTGTGTCCAGCAGCCGACGGCAGGTGTACGCCTCCGCGAGCAGTATCTGCGTTCTTCGGATACAGTTTGCCCCGACCAAACACATCCAGAGAGGCAGGGATGAAGAATGGCTTCTGAGTGACGCTGAGGTCCTCCTTTGGCGCTTAGGCATCACTTAGGTTTCATCATTTAAGTGATGTCAGGACTTCACTCACGGCCCAGGAGCTTTTATTTGCATTTCCCTGTGTAATGCTGCCACCTAGAGGCACGTTGAATCCCAGCGCTTCCTGTCTACGCAAGCGGCATTTTACCCATGTCCTAAGACTGCGGTGGTGGGAGTTTCAACCCGAAGCCGTCCAGCAGTATTTCTGAGCTACGCAAAGAAGCTACTGAAAGAGAAAACGAGCATGGCCACACCTGCTCCTTGCTTGTTTCCCAAAGGAACCCCAGTTTCTACCGACTCAAGAGGAGAGAACCCTGGAGCACCCGTTCCTGAACAACTTTGCTCTTCACCCTGTTACAGGGAGGAAAACCACACCCTTGCCAAGTTCACGTTCAAGACCGCAGGTCACTCACATTCACTCTTGGAGGAGAGAGTCACATATTTACATGTGGGTTCCTTTGTCACTGTTTTAATAATTTAGCAGAGGGCCAGCACTGGGGAGCAGTGGTTAAGCAGTGCTGGCATCCCATCCAGATGCTGGTTCAAATCCTGGCTACTATAGCTCTAATCCAGCTCCCTAAAATGTGCCTGGGAAAAGCAATGGGAAATGGCCTGAGAGCTTGGCCCCTGCTACCCACATGCAGGACCTAGATAACGTGCCTGGCTCCTGGCTGGCCCTGGGCATTGCGGCCATTTGGGAAATGAACCAAAGGGTATCAGATCTATCTATCTCTTCCTCTCTCTCTGTCTCTCTCTCTGTAACTCTGCCTTTCAAACAAATAAACACATCTTTCAAAAAATGATCTGTGAATTTAAGATGACCCAGATGGCCAAGGATTTGAAATGAGCTCTCTCGATGTTGCATCATTTCCCAGGCTGGTCTGCTCAGTGGGATCTGTGCATGGTGGGAGACGGGGGCAGGGGGTACACGTCTACCTGGTTCCTGTAGGGAGTATATCTATTCCATATCCTATGGACTGAGGACTTGAATTTCTCCTCCCAAGTGTATCCATGGAAACCCTAATCCCCAGGAAGGCAACGTTGAGAAGTGGGGTCTTTGGAAGGTGGCTATGTCCGGAAGGTGGAGCTCCCACAGGTGGGGTTACAGTGGACAGGAGGGCATTCTGTCACGTGCGTGCTTTACCTGTATGCTTTCCGACATGCAAGACTACAACCAGAAAATGGCTCCCTGCAAGCCAGGCAGTCGTGGGCTCTGGGCCAGATGCTGGAGCTGCCAGCACCTGGACCCCAACTTCCAACCCCAGAACTGTGGGGAATGAAGGTAAGGTGTATTACAGAATTCTACAGTGTGCAGTCCTTTGCTACAGCAGGCTCACCTAAAGTATCACATTAAAAAATGTATATTTCACACGTTTTAAAACACATGTTCATAAAACTAGACACATATAATTTGAAAATAACTGATATATTAAATGCTATATCTAGATCTAAATATGAGCTGGTTACCAATGCACAAAATTTATAACTAAATAAATGCATCAGGGCTGGCATTGTGGCATAGCAGACAAAGCTACCACCTGAGACACCAGCATCCCATAGCATGCCGGCTTATGTGCCAGCTGCTCCACTTCTGGTCCAACTCCCTGCTGATGATCTGGGAAAGGCAACGGAGGACGGTCCAAGTCCTTGGGCTCCTGCACCCACATAGGATGAAGTCTCAGACTCCTAGCTTTGACCTGACCCAACCCAGTAGCGGCAGTGAACCAGAAAATTGAAGATGTCTCTCTCTTCCTCTGTCTCTCTCTCTCTAACTCTGCCTTTCAAATAAGAAAATATATCTCTTACAATATGTACACACATTGAGGCATGGCTAACAAAGCTTGCATGGCTACCAAAGCAGAATCCAGAGTCCATTCCATTGGATATAAATATGCTCATACTCTGGTTTTCTGAAATAAGTGCTTTAGAAACAGATTATTCTAATTAGTATGTCTAAGAGCAACTGAATGACTAGAATTGTCAGCTTAGGTCTTGTACACTCCTTCTCCTCTGTAAACTGTACTTTAAGGAGCAGATGTCCATTTTGACTGTTCAGCCAGTTTTACATGGCACACATTCTCGTCTCTGTCTGCAGTCCTCCTGATTCCCGACGGGATCCAACCCTAACCGGTGTGTACGGCAGCTCACAGCTGCACCCCACTCCTGCCTGGACATCACTTCGCTCTCACTTAGTGCTGTACACCTGACTCAAGGCTAGGGTAAAACTTGACTTCTCCCAGAAGTGATGAAATAGCAGAAAGGGAAATTAAGTCCACTGGAAAACTTTGCCCATTCTCCCTCTCATTTTCCTTCAATAAAAATCAATTTTAAAAATCCACCCTAAGATAAAAGTTCACCTTCAAAGAGCAGCAGCACCGAGATGGCGGCCACCTCCTCCAGACTTCAGCAATGCTGTGATCACTTCCTGGACTAGAACACCATCAGCTGACAAGCCCATGCCCCG